ATCTTAAACTTGAGGAAGCTAATCAGAGCATCTTATTGGCTCAGAGAACCATATCCCATCCTCAAGCTAAAAATAGAATCAATGAAGAATGACTCAGATTTATTGCAGCAGAATCATAATACTTCAGCATAATCTTGATTTACATTATATTCCACCATTTTTCACAAGATTAATGACAAAATCATAAGAACTACTTCAGTGATCAAAATAAAGCACAATGTAATACATGGTGATCAATTCTAAGTGTTAGGACTCACAAATTGAAAGCAAGATGTTCCAAAAAAGAGAGAATATATCACATTGTAGCATCCATCAATGGTGCTGAATTATCAAAAGATTAACCACAAAACCGACATCAACAAAATTTCCTCAGATGATCTATCTAAACCAATGAGAAAGGAAGAAAAGAGTTGAGAGAAGGGACGAGGACATACTGTTGAGTTCCTGAAGCCAACGTTTAACGCTTTCGAAAGTGTCACTTCGAGTGATGTCATAAACGATGAGAGCACCAAAAGCACCTCTGTAATAAGCAGAAGTGACTGCCCTAAACCTCTCTTGACCAGCAGTGTCCCAGATCTGAGCTTTCACTTCTTTCCCTTCGATTTCCACCAGCTGCGTCTGAAATTCCACTCCGATTGTCGCCTTCGAGTTCGTGTCGAACTCGTCCCGAGAAAAGCGAGACAGCAGGTTCGATTTTCCGACAGCCGAATCGCCGATTAGGACAATCTTGAACAAGTACTCTTCTCCTCGGTCGTCTTCCTTACCCATCTTCTTCGTCTTCTTCGAGATTGTGGAGAATTTTTTGCGGGCTTTGAAAAAGCTTTGATAAGTGGTAAAGTGGTGACAGACAAGCTGCGTGATTGGCGGGGTTTCCTATAGACAGCCCTCATTAATTCATAATTAAGTACGTTTAAAGATTTTGATTAGTGCCAAAGCTTAGGCTTTTTCTTAAATTGGAAAACACCGTATCCCTTTAAAAATATGGCTAAATAACATTTAATTTTCTGAAAATTAGTTTCTATTAAATGAAGAAAAAATTGTACACTTTTCAACTATATTTTTTGTTGTCCATAATTTCCTCATATTCTATTTATTTCAACCAACAATATGCAAAATTCAAACTATATTTCAAAAGCTTACAGAAACCGAAAGAGTCAAACTGCTATCAGCCAGGTTTATACATCTGACAACACAAAATTGACTAGTGAGAGAATTACACAGAAATTGTGTGGTTGGATAATTATTTTTGAATCAACTATAGAACATCAGATCTAAGTCTATTTGCCACTTTCTCTTAGGTTTTGATATCTTATAGCTTATTTACAATTTTCCCCAGAATCATTATGAACGATTTGGTATACGATTCCTTTTTATTTCACACAAGTATGGTTACATTGGATACATAACAATGTAACTGAGAGTTTGTACATAAAAGCTTGAGGCTGCTTTAAGCCTTTAATTATTAGCTTTGCCCCAACTTCTTGGGAATGGAATGGCGTCTTTGATATCAGGAAGTCCGGTTGCAAACAGAAGCATTTGTTCCATGCTTAGGCTTATTCCTGAATGTTTCACTGTCCCATGCCTCCTTAAATCTAGGTACCACTCAAACTTCTCCCTCGATAATCCAAATTCCGCGATCCTCGCATTCAAAATCTCAAACCGTTCTTCATTTTGGCTCCCGGTGATCACAACACCAACCTGTAAAGAACGTTTAAGACTTTTGTAATATCCTGCAACTTTGAATTCCTAATTTATATCAAAAGTTTTGTTTGGTTCTCTTCTTACCTTTGGTACGACCAGATCAAATGCTGCTACAGTCTTCTTATCATCATTCAACCGTACGTAAAACTGTTTAACTGCTTTCGGGTAGCTATGTATGATTACAGGACCCTTGTAGATCTCATCAGTTAGATAACTGCGACATTAAACGGTGAACAGAGAAAATTTAAGAAACGGATCTTGAAACAAAAACTCAATTGCATTTTCCATAAGCAAAAACAATACCTTAGATGCTCTGTTGTTAAAGCAATTCCCCACTCAGGCTTGGTTTCAAATTTTGTAGTGGTTGCCTGTTTTAGAGAATCAGATCATTATGATATAGCAAAAACATCAGTAGATACGAACTATATGGGATTTGAGAGTGTTTTACCTTTTGAAGAAGACTAATCACATCGGTATAGGAGAATCTCAAAAGAGAGCTGGATGCTGTTGCTTCGAGACGTGTGGTGATGGTCTTGTCAACTCGTTTTGATATGAATTTCATGTCTTCATCGCGATTCTCCAGAATATATTTGCAGAGGAACTTGAAGTATTCATCAGCACAATCCATAGCATCCTGTAACAAACGAAACAAGTTACCATTTGTTGAATATCATTGCATCTACCGAAATCAATGTTATGAGAATCTTACATCCAATTCCGAGAAAGCCATCTCAGTTTCCACACTCCACATCTCTGCCAAATGCCTTGCATTGTCGATTTTATCAGCTATGAATCTTGGTCCAAAGGTATACACTTTTCCAAGTGCAGAGGCATAGCTCTCAAGATGAAACCTCCCAGAAGAAGTCAGATAAGCGTCGCGACCAAAGAAATCTTTTGAGAAATCAAGCTTTTCAGATTTAACCAAAGTTCCTGTTTTGGATTTTTGTTTCATCTCAAGCTGAGATGCAAGATCGCTCGTTTTCTTCAAGTCGTGTACCGCAGCAACAACAGCTTCTCGGTTGCTGTCAGATCTCTTGAGGTGATCAATAAGCCTAGTCTTTTCCTTTATCGCAGCCTTTACGGTGTCAATGCTAAATCCATCTTTTTCTTTGACAGGCTTCTTCTCCTCTTTATCATCAGTTTTACCTACAAGTGTAGTGACCCTAAACATTTCGCCAAATCCAGTGGTTGTTGTGATGACTGGTACTTGAACATACTGAAAGCCATGGTACTGAAGGAATGTGTGGCTTGCTAAGGTTAGCGCACTGTGGACTCGAGTCACCGACCCAACCTTCACCAACAATAGAAGAGAAATCTATATTAACCTCATTGCTCTTTCATGACATAGTTATATAAAAAAAAGAAGAACATAAAACCAGAGTTCTCAAAGATTCACTATAACCTAAGATCGTTTGTGAAAAATGTTGAAATATAGTTATACCGTAGTTGTGCGGGGTCTGAAATGAGAGAAATCTCTAAGCATATGCAGAGGAAGCTGTTTCTTCGAGAGTGGATACTTCTCTGGATCCACTGTTCCAACATGAAGAAGCTTCTCAGCCTCAAGCTCAATTACATGTTTTGCAGAAGCAGCCAATGGTAGTCTTAACACACCTTCAGCTACAATACAGGTCCCTAGAGCCATAAGCTGAGTTGCTGGAACAGTTGACAACGCAGAATCAACAACAACCTAAGAGGGAAAAAAACAAAAAGTTAGACTCTTTTGAATATATCTCTGAATAAAGTTCTCATTGGCATTTCCTCGAACATCTTATGCGCCAAAAAAGTATTGAAATCAAACATCATAAACTACCTGGAGACTAGAGATGGAGGATCCATCACTGATCAAGAAGTAAAAAACATACTCCGGTGGTGGCGCGCCCTTCTGACCGGCGAGTTCCATCTTATCAAAGATTGGATAAGTCTTCCCACCGCCGCTCAACACATCGAAAAATCTCCTGAAAATATTCATTTTCGATTGAATTATCTCCGTGCACCTAATGTTCGCCGTGGTATGAGCTTGATCCCCACCACTGGACGGCGAAGGGACGGCAACTACAGGCGGCGGAGGAGGAGGAGAATCTTTCTTAACCGCTCTGGCAGACTTAACCCAACCACCAACCACAACCCTTTTCCCGGCCAATGCTGCGCCACGGTCGCTCCGATCAAGCAGAGTCTTTAACTCGACCCGGTTCGAATACTTAGACAACGTTATGGGTTTGGGAGAGAGATCACCATCCTGCTCTTTCTGATGGGTTTTTCCATGGGATTCCATTTTGGGTATTTTAGAATAATCCGATAAATCGGAAGGTTGAGGAAGAAGAATGGAAGATATTGAGAGGAAGATTTGAGTTTAGTGAGGTTCCTTGAGTTGGATAAATCAAAAGAGAAGAAGAGATTATATATAAACATGATTACTTGAAGATAATTTGAATCGAGAGATTAGAGGAAGTTTAGATTGTTGGAACAAGGAAAAGGATTGTTTCTTTCTATGTTGCGGAGAGAAGCAGAGAGAGCAGAGAAAGAGAGAGAAGGCAAAGTTTGGTATTCTTCACGGTTGGGATATTCGCGGGAACTGTGTCCCAAACAGTTCATATTGAGGTTTTTAAACCTGAATATTTTGAGGCCCAAATGGCCCAATAGGTGTACCTATTTAGATTAATTTACAACAATTCACGCCCCTGACCCTGAGGCTCACAAATACTATGTCGAAACTCAACTAGTATTTAGAAATTCTTACCAAAATAACGCCCAAAAAGTTAAAATGAATGATCCAATTACGCATGGTTTTGGTTAGATTTCTAAATTATTTATAAAATCACTAATCTATAAACCCTTTTAAAGTTACAATCCTAAAAATATATAACTGAACTTAGCTAGACTAGCTAATGAAAAATAAACAGAATAAATCCTCAGTTATTTTCATAAACCGGTTTGTTTCAAATGCTTTGATTTTTTAACTGTTATCTTATTTGCTTAAAAACACTTTGACTTGTGAGAAAGTTTAAACGGCCAGTCGTATCGTTTGTAATTAGGTACGAATCTTGTCATTAAGCAGTTGGAAAAAAAAATAAAGGAGCATGGAATGGGGTCACATGTACACGAATTGTAATGATGGTTAGCACGAGGTACAAAACCTAAGGCCGAATAAATCACTATTAAGATAATTAACTTTTTGATAAGAAATTGTATTCCTCCCAACTAAACGTAGGCTTGACTCTTGAGGTCTAGAATTTGCAGACGACGAAAGCAACATGTTTTAATAATCCCACTGTGGTTGTATTACCCTCACAAACTTTATAGACTATCGTAGAGTGGCCAATGATCGAACAAAATGCCAATATTATCTGCCAAGTTCTTACTAAATTAATGGAAACTTTGTATATGTCATGAAAACTTTCGGCCAAAACATTAGAATTAAACTAGGGGACTTATACTTCATCATATATCTCAACCAATATAATCGTTTAGTCATATAAACGTCCAAGGAATTCTACTAGCTATGAAATTTTAAAGTTTATAAATTGATAATTCAGAAATTGATGAAATTAGAGTATGTGTCACCAAAAATTAGTTTTTATGATCCCCAAAACTCAAAATGCATTTTAAGGCTCAAATTATTGTTGATCAGTTTGATAGTTTTGTGATCTATCTTTAACTTGATTAGTATAGTATTTGAGAGATTGAAATGGAATATTATTCAAAAAGGTTAATCTCCTATCCTACTCACCATAGGCCTTCATGATGCTCATAATCATTGCCTCTTCAATGATTAAAAGCTCTTTTGATTCCGAGCTTTACACATCATCGATCATCACTCACTCAGTTCTTCTTCTACTTATAAAGCCACGTTCAAGAACTTGCAAATTATAGAACCAAACTTTGATAACTAAATCAAATCCGAAAGACATAAAAACAAGAAGGAATTATGGTAAGAAGAAACACAGTTCATGCCATTTCAAGTCTTCCGTCGAGGTACTTGTGGCCGCAGCAACGAAGGAAAGGAAAACGAGTCGTCGTGCGGTTAGGTAACCGGCGACGAGGGTTCTTTGTGGGGCCACCGCGGATGGTGGTGCAGAGATGGAGGATGAACATCGGAAAGCCGATGAAGATGATGAGAAGTATCATTTTGGGGATACTCTCAAATGGTGGAAATGTTAAGTTCTTAGATGCTTATCTTTGGTCTTTACCAATCTTACGTCCTCAGTTGTTTCCGCTATGTTGATTTGTTGTGATACCAATTTCTACTTGTGAAACTGTAATATTTATCTTGTTCTTATTAATTTTTTTTTTTTTTTTTTTTTTTTTTTTTTTTTTTTTTTTTTTGTGTGAGTCTAAATAATTGGCTTCAAAATAAAGTCTTTATTCTTGCTAACTTCTTCTTTAAAGAGTTGAAGGTTAATGAAAACAACTACTTTTTGAATTACTCTGTCTTCTTGTGTGTTCATTGATTACTTACAAAATACAAATTGCAAAACTGTTATGTTAGTTAGATGTATGAATTATTGAATTGTGACAATATTAAACATATATTATTATTTCAAAAATTTGAAAAAAATTAGACATGATCATTTTTAGTTTACTAATTGAGTTATTTTTTTTTGCTAGGATACTAATTGAGTAATTGACCAATTATTTGTTTTTCTCAAAAAAGTAGGATTTTAGTTTTGTTTATATAAATAATTTAGTTAAGAATTACGTATAATAATACAAATATTATATATATATAAATTATTTATTTAGTTGATATAAATATAATCTCTACTTTCAATTTACAAATATTTAGTTTTTATCAAAAGAATTATTTAAAGGATGAAAGATATAATTCTTATTAAAGGATAAAAAAAAAAAAAAATTGGACAGATTTGGGTTTTATATCTAAAAGACTCAAAACCTATCGTCATTATCTTCAACAGGCGGAGGAACGGAGATGGCCGCCATTACAGCTCTCGCTCTCCGCTCTCCTGTTTTTCTTCCTCCATCATCCGCCACAACCCCTAGATTCCATGGCTTCACCAAGCTATCAGCTCGTGTCTTCTTTCCTCTTAAACCCTTCCCTTCTCTATCCATCCAAAACCCTAAATCTAAATCCATCCGAATTTCCGCATCCGCATCGCCGATGACACCAACCATCCCGACGGAGAAATCAACAACTCGACCATCGACACTCACCGGGTCGACTCGGTCTCTCGCTACTCTCGCGGCTTTAACAATCGCTGTAACCAGAGTCTTAGCTCAGAAACTCTCTCTTGCGATCCAGACTTCAAGTCCCGCAATCGCAGACGGATTACGATTCTCTCTCAGTACCGCCGGACCGGTCTTCTTCGCGTCGCTCCGAGATCGTCCTCCGGGGTACTTGAACACGCCGCTTACGGTGGTTGCGGTGGGGATAAAGAAGTGGTTAGACATATACAGTGGGGTTTTGATGGTTAGGGTTTTGCTCAGTTGGTTCCCTAATATCCCTTGGGAAAGACAGCCTTTGTCTGCCATTAGAGATCTCTGTGATCCTTACTTGAATCTCTTCAGAAACATCATTCCTCCTATCTTCGATACTCTTGATGTTAGTCCATTGCTTGCTTTCGCGGTTCTTGGTACACTTGGATCTATTGTTCATGGCAGCACCGGATAGAAATTCGTGATCAAGAATTGAGCTTTGATTTGAGGCAACTTCTTTCGATTAGGAAAAGTCATACTCTTTTGGATGCTTAATGAGAGTTGTGAGCTTTGTCGTTTTGAATTTGATTCTGAATAATGAGATTTTGGCTTGTTGATTATCTTCTAATTACATGTTCATTGCTCTATAGACTACATACATATTATTGATGGATTCTCTGCATCCTCTCAATTGGCGTTGATTAAGAATCAGAAAGTTAAGTTTTGGTTTACAACTGTGGACATGTTAGGTTCTTGCTCCATCTAAAGTCACAATTATTAGACTGGGTTTCTCTAGCTAAATAGCTAAAAGTAAGAAGACAGACAATCAAATGTGTAATATCACACATGAAAGCTGAACTTTGATCAACTATTATTTTGATCTTTTTAAAAAATACTGAATACTGAAGTTTCAACAAAAGGTGTCAACTCGAAAGTAAGAAACTAGAAGTTTGAATTGGATCACACCATTTGCCAGTAATCGTATACAATCGTTGAACTCTAACACGATTAAACTCCTTCAAATCCAGAAACCGTATTCAGACATGGATCATACGGGAATTAGTAAAACCGGTTCAATTTCGGTTTTGTGAAATTACCGGTTTAGAAACAAGCTCTGGTATAGGTCGTTTTAGCTTCTGAGACGACTTCATTTAGTCTCAGACTCTGCGACGCTCTTTACTAGCCGCCGGGAACCCGCCATGAACTTTGTCGTCAGACGGGTAGGCTCCATTTTGCCGTCGATACGTCACGGCGCAGTTTCCCAAATCCGGCTAGCCAGAACAGAGGCAGGTCAGCCGAGACGGCGAAACAAGTTGCCTTCTCTTCCGCTCAAGAAGAAGGAAGAGAAATCCGAGTGGTGGATAGTCGACGGAGAGATGCACGAGATCGGCGATCACGTCCCTCCTCGTGAGCGGTTCACAATCCCCAGGGACAACATTCCAAACAAACGCCGGAAGCAGCTCCGTGAGCAGTTCATGCGCCGCACTCGTCTCGTCCTGAAAGAATCGGTCAGTTCCATTGACAAAGTTTAGATTTTTCCAATATTCACTGCTTCATTGTTCTGTGTTGTAGTTCAATTGGAAAAAATTCTGTCTTTTAACATAATTTTGATGCTATTTCTGTGATAGGAACATGAGCCATGGTGCAAAAAGTATATGGAACTATATAACGAGCTTAGAGAGAACTGGGAGAGGCTTTATTGGGATGAAGGATATTCAAAGAAAATCGCAAGTGATCATGCAAATTATGAATCTGCTGAAGAAGACGATGAAGATTTTAATCCATACAGGTTTCTCTGTTAATCACTGACTATTTTCTTATAATGGTATTTAGGTGTAGATGGATGGTTTTGTGATTGGTTTATCTCCTTGTTCATTGCAGGAACAGGCGGTCTTACAGCGATCAAACAAAGGTAAAAAGTTTATGATGCTTTTGTAGTGAATATATTACGAGCCTGAGTAGATTTGAGATCTTGTTGCGGTTCAATTCTGTCTAATTTCATTGATTTCCCTGATTTTTTTTTTTTTGTGTTATCTGTGAAACTTGAGTCTGATTTCTGTGAGAATCGAAAATGAAAGCAGGAGCAAGGGTTTAATAGAACTACACAAGGTGATAATTGGGAGAAAGTCAATCAAATCAGGGATAAGTTTGAGTATGATAGAGAAAGGAGGATGAGAGATAAAGGTGAGTTTTCATCACCAAAATTTCTTGTGGATTGAGCATAATGGTACTTTGTATACTCTTCAGCATTTTACTACATGAACAGAAATAGAGTTGGTAGTATAGTACTATAGTCTATTAAAATTCTTTGGAGTATTGGAAAGCTTAAGTTGCAGCATCAGTACACTGAAGCATTGGTTAAACCAAGCATCATATGCTCTATTTTGTCGAATAGGAAGTCTTAACATATTACCTGAAATATATCAGAAATTTGGGAAAATGCTTAAAACATATCATTTGCAAATTGAAGAGAGGAAAACGATAGAGCGCAATAGATGAATGTTCGCTTATTGTCACCATCTTGCCCGTTTATATATGACATGCTAATTGAGCCGAGCATCTTGCATGAAACTAGCTAAAGTCGTTTGTGGGTGATATGTGTGCTGCATTCTGCTTACTGTAGTTTCTCAGCTGTCTTGAACAATCTCTCTTGTTGCAGCCTTTGCACCAATGAATGCAGCACCAGCCTCTCAAGAATCTAGGGACTTGAATTGGAATGCACAAAGACGGCCTTTTGACGCTGAGAGATTCACAAGGGATTGAATACGTAAACATCACAAGAGACTGAGAGAGCAAGTAGATGAAATGGAGCTTGGCATTACATCTAATATATCTATATATCCATTTGAACATCAATTCTTATTACTTTGCACAAGTACTTATCTAAACACTAGATGAATACCCACCCACTCGTTTTATGTTTTTCTAGGTTGCTCCAAAAAAGTTTGGATTTTGTTGTGATCTGTCTTTTATTGTCTATCATATAGTCCCGTGTAATTCATGAAAAGGAAAGTAAAAGTAACTTGATATGACATATCACAAAAGATGTTATAAATCGAATTGGTTCAGGGTCATCATCTCCACACGTTTCTTCTCAGCCTTTAGCTCTTAGTGCACATTATAAGCATCAGACCTCATCCTTATCTCCTCAGGCAATGAGTTGATTCTCACCTTAAACGCATCATATCCTCATTTCTTGATGCTTTTGGTAGTTAACGAATGCTCTGTTCTGTTCAGTTTTGCATGTTGGTTAGTCACTCGAATAAGGAAACCTCAAATAAATGGTTACGCAGTAAGAAAACAAATAACCGTTTGGTAAAGGTAATTATTTCTTACCGTTGTGATCAATTTCCTTTTTTTTTTATAACGAAATTTCCTTTTTTCTAGGTCAACATATCTCCTTTAATTATTTTTTTACCGTTGTGATCAATTTCCGTTGTCAAATATATAAATACTCGTTTCTTCTTCCATCGTCGAGAAATCAAAATAATACAATCTCCTTCTTCGGAAAGAAAACAAAAGAAATCAACTTTTCTCTTTTTCTTTTTGATATACAAGCAGTTTCTTCTCGAACAAGCTCTGCGCCTCTGCCGATGTCTGATCGCCGATATCGACACCATGAAGGCGATGATCCATGTAGAGCCACCCTGCAACAACTTCATCTCAGAACTTATATCCGTACGATTGATCGGAGGAAAGCATCTATGTTTCGTAGATTGATATGCATGATGCATCCTCTGTTGTGACTACATCTACAATCTCTCTCTAATTTCACAAAAATCAAAGATGCGAGGAAGAAAACGGGAAGGCGATCGAGGAACCAATGACGAAGATTTGGGGTTTCAATACTTTCGATGGCTCATACTCAGACGCGTTGCCTCAGGATGAAGATGAATTTGAGTTTCGTCACGAGTCACGAGAGCCAGGTTAGTTTGCTTTCTCAATTTCTTGCTCTTTTTTTCTTAATCAAAATTTGATTTCTTTCTTAATTAACCTTATGGATAATGATTAATTTGGTAAAACATTTTTAAACTAAATTAAAAATTAATAAATTTTAAATAAAATTTAAAAAGAAACTTGGATAATAAATTTGCAATATGGTATGAAAACTAACCGGATTTTGGATCCCGCATTAGTCGTTAGTGATTCCAAACATTCACCTTGTTTTTCATATCATTATGTAGATTTAGCATTCAAGTTTTTAATTCTAATTTTTAAAATACTTTTTAAAATTGTGAAAATTTAATTAAAAATAATAAATTTTAAAAAACCTTAGATACTAAATTTGCAATATGGTATGTATAAGTATAAAGGTTTAAACTTTTAGAAAACACTTAAACACTTAAACCAAAACTATGTTAATTTTACTATTAATTTCTAAAAATTAGTTCAAGTGTTAAATTTTTAGATATAGATAAAACACTTAAACTTTAAGAAAATTAGTTTAAACTTTAAGCAAATTTTAAGAAAACTAAAATAAGTATAAATGTTTAAACTTTAAGAAAACACTTAAACCAAAACTATGCTAATTTTACTATTAATTTTAAAAAATTAGTTCAAGTATTAAATTTTTAGATATTTTAGATAAAACACTTAAACTTTAAGAAAACACTTAAACACTTAAACCAAAACTATGTTAATTTATACTATTAATTTTTAAAAATTAGTTCAAGTGTTAAAATTTTAGATATTTTAGATCTTAAACTTTAAGAAAATAAGTTTAAACTTTAAAGAAAGCTAAAATAAGTATAAAGGTTTAAACTTTAAGAAAACACTTAAACACTTAAACCAAAGCTATGTTAATATTACTATTAATCTTTAAAAATTAGTTCAAGTGTTAATTTTTAGATATCTTAGATAAAACACTTAAACTTTAAGAAAATAAGTTTAAACTTTAAGAAAACTTATTACAAATGTTTAAACTTTAAGAAATGTTTAAACTTTAAGAAAATATTTAAATTCTTAAACCAAAACTATATTAATTTTACTATTAATTTTTAAAAATTAATTCAAGTGTTAAATTTTTAGATATTTTAGATAAAACACTTAAACTTTAGGGTAAGAAAACTTTCAGAAATCCAAAATAAGTATAAAGGTTTAAACTTTAAGAATACACTTAAACACTTAAACCAAAACTATGTTAATTTTACTATTAATTTTTAAAATTTAGTTCAAGTGTTAAATTTTTAGATATTTTAGATCTTAAACTTTAAGAAAATAAGTTTAAACTTTAAGAAAACTTTAAAAAAACTTTAAGAAAACTAAAATAAGTATAAAGGTTTAAACTTTAAGAAAACACTCAAACACTTAAACCAAAACTATGTTAATTTTACTATTAATTTTTAAAAATTAGTTCAATTGTTAAAATTTTAGATATTTTAGATAAAACACTTAAATTTTAAGAAAATAAGTTTAAACTTTAAGAAAACGAAAATAAGTATAAAGGTTTAAACTTTAAGAAAACACTATACGCTTAAACCAAAACTATGTTAATTTTACTATTAATTTTTAAAAATTAGTTCAAGTATTAAATTTTTAGATATTTTAGATAAGACACTTAAACTTTTAGAAAACTTTAAGAAAACTCTTAAACACTTAAACACTTAAACCAAAACTATGTTAATTTTACTATTAATTTTTAAAAATTAGTTCAAGTGTTAAAATTTGAGAAATTGTTAAAAATGCCCCTTTTTCAATACCCCTTTTCAAAAATGCCCCTTTTGAGAGTCCATTTTTAAGTTTGTCCTCTTTTAATTTTTAATGACCATTTTACCCTTATTCGAAACAAAATTAGGTCCACAAAATACAAAATATTTTTTTGCGGGAAAACAATTTTCCCGCCAAAACACTTGTAAAAACCTTTAAAATACCTTGTAAAATTTTCCCGTAAAAATTTTTCCCGCAAAAAAATTTTCCCGCCAAAATTTTTTTTTTGCGGGAAAAGTGATTCCGCAATTTTTTTGCCGAAATTTTTTTGGCGGGAAAATTTTTGGCGGGAAAAATTTACAAGGTATTTTAAAGGTTTTACGGAGTATTTACAAGTGTTTTGTAAGGTTTTACAATGTATTTTAAAAGGTTTTACAAGGTACTTATAAGGTTTTATAAGGTATTTATAACTTGTAAAACCTTATAAAAAACTTGTAAAACCTTATAACTTGTAAAACCTTATAAAATAGCTTGTAAAATCTTATAATATCTTATAAATACTTTATAAATACGTTGTAAAACCTTTTAAAATACATTGTAAAACCTTATAAATACCCTGTAAAAACCCTTTTATATACCTTGTAAATTTTTCCCGCCAAAAATTTTCTCGCCAAAAATTTAACGCCAAAAAATTTGCGGAATCACTTTTCCCGCAAAAAAAAATTTTTGGCGGGAAAAAATTTTACGGGAAAATTTTACAAGGTATTTTAAAGGTTTTACAAATTTTTACAAGTGTTTTGGCGGGAAAAATTGGGGGATCACTTTTCTCGCCAAAAAATATTTTGTATTTTGTGGACCTAATTTTGTTATATTTCCTTATATATTTATGATATCTTTTCTTAAAAGAAGGGTAATTTAGTCATTTTGTACATAAAAGGAGTATTTTTAAAAATAGACATCCAAAGGGGGCATTTTTGAAAAGGGGTATTGAAAAAGGGGCATTTTTGTAAGTCTCCCTTAAAATTTTAGATATTTTAGATCTTAAACTTTAAGAAAATAAGTTTAACCTTTAAGAAAACTAAAATAAGTATAAAGGTTTAAACTTTAAGAAAACACTTAAACACTTAAACCAAAACTATGTTAATTTTACTATTAATTTTTAAAAAATTAGTTCAAGTGTTAAATTTTTAGATATTTTAGATAAAACACTTAAACTTTAAGAAAATAAGTTTAAACTTTAAGAAAACTAAAATAAATACATAGGTTTAAACTTTAAGAAAACACTTAAACACTTAAACCAAAACTATATTAATTTTACTATTAATTTTAAAAATTTAATTCAAGTGTTAAAGTTTTAGATATTTTAGATAAAACACTTAAACTTTAAGAAAACTTTAAGAAAACCAAAATAAGTATAAAGGTTTAAACTTTAAGAAAACACTTAAACACTTAAACCAAAACTATGTTATTTTTACTATTAATTTTTAAAAATTAGTTCAAGTGTTAAATTTTAAGATATTTTAGATAAAACACTTAAACTTTAACAAAACTTTAAGAAAACACTTAAACACTTAAACCAAAACTATGTTAATTTTACTATTAATTTTTAAAAATTAGTTCAAGTGTTAAAATTTTAGATCTTTTAGATCTTAAACTTTAAGAAAACTTTAAGAAAACTAAAATATGTATAAAGGTTTAAACTTTAAGAAAACACTTAAACACTTAAACCAAAATTATGTTAATTTTACTATTAATTTTTAAAAATTCGTTCAAGTGTTAAAGTTTTAGATATTTTAGATAAAACACTTAAACTTTAAGAAAACTTTAAGAAAACAGTTAAACACTTAAACACTTAAACACTTAAACCAAAACTATGTTAATTTTACTATTAATTTTTAAAAATTAGTTCAAGTGTTAAAATTTTAGATCTTAAACTTTAAGAAAATAAGTTTAAACTTTAAAAAACTTTAAGAAAACACTTAAACACTTAAACCAAAACTATGTTAATTTTAAAAAATTAGTTCAAGTGTTAAATTTTTAGATATTTTAGATAAAACAATAAAACTTCAAGAAAATAAGTTTAAACTTTAAGAAAACTTTAAGAAAACTAAAATAAGTATAAAGGTTTCAACTTTAAGAAAACACTTAAACACTTAAACCAAAACTATTTTAATTTTACTATTAATTTTTAAAAATTATTTCAAGTGTTAAATTTTAAAAACGTAGAAAACTAAGCGTAACCTTCAGAAGCAGTTACTAAGATTTATATTATTATTAAAAAATATTATGGTGAAAATATGTGATCATAAACAAAATTATTAATCAAAGAGTTTAATTAATCATTATAATGAGTAGACGTACTTTTTTAAGTTTTTAAAAATACATTCAACAAAACATTATGATAAAAAATACGCAATACTTTAAATTGTGTTGTTAAAGAGAGACAATCCTCGGAAAAAATTAACTAATAACCAAAAGTAATAGTTATTTAGGAAAAAATAAATGATAATATAGGTAACAAAGTATATATGTGAATGCTATATAGCGAAAAAATGCCAACAACCGTAAAATAAAAAGGTTTATTTGATTAACTGTTGCAATCTTTGAACAGATGCAACTTTCTAAACATAAACCATAAGATTATATTATATAGTTAAAAATTGAACAGATGCAACTTAAAAAAAAAAACATAATTTATAATGAACTGTTGTAACTTTTGAACAAATCAAAACCATAAAATTTATACTTTATAGTTAAAAATTGAATAGATGCAACTTTTCACAATTGTAAAATGAAAAAGTTTATTTGACGAACCGTTTCAACCACGGAACAGATGCAACTTTCTAGAAAACAAAACCATAAAATTTATAAATTATAGTTAAAAATTGCATAGATTGCATAGACGCAACTTTAAGAAAACACAACCATAAATTATATTTTATAATTATTAAAAAAACCTTGACGATAAGACACAATAGTTCAAATATTTTATATTTAAAAACTAAACAGATGCAACTTAAAAAAAACACAAGTACACAACTACAAATTATATTTTATAACTATTTAAAAAAAAAATAACGAAAGATTGCGACGAAAGACATATAAGTTCAGATTTTTTATAGTTAAAAATTGAATAGATGCAACTCTTTAAAAAAGTAATAATATTTTATAGTTTAAAAAAAAACTTAACGAAAGGTTGCGACGAAAATACACAATCGTTAGGTATTTATTGAGATTGCTATTATATATAGATTAAATGTAAATTATTATTTTAATTAAAAAGTGGAAATTTTTCTTTAAGTCATGACAAATCTACTGTTGTTCTAACTTTAATAATAGTAGACTTCCTCACGTTTGTGGTAAAAATGCCTACATAAAGGCAAAATGAGGGGATTATTGTTTAAAATGCCCTTTTTTGGGAAAAACTTACGAAAATGCCCTTTTTTGAATAGTTTATGGATTTTGCCCTTTTTTAATACTTAAAAATGTACGTATTTAGGATTTTACAATCGTTAGGTATTTATTGAGATTGCTATTATATATAGATTAAATATAAATTATTATTTTAATTAAAAAGTGGAAATAAAACGCATGTTAAATCATATTTTTGGAGCATGAAAAAGGGCAAAATATATAAACTATTCAAAAAAGGGCTAAAAATGCCTACATAAAGGCAAAATGAGTTACAAAATGAACAGCTAATGTAAAAACCCGATACTAATAAACCACACAAACAGGAAAAAGAAAAAAGAAAAAACAGGGAAGAAACAACATTTGACCACGGAAAACAACTTAAATATATATTTTTGTAAACTCGGAATCCAAAATCCAAATCTTATCTCCATGAAGCATTTTCCTTTGCCAAACAGTGCTTCTACTCTAACACCGCACCTGCATTAAATATCTTTATTAATCAAACATATCACAGTGAGAATCGATACATTCACTATAAATGGTTCATCTATACTAAATATGCTACTTTAGCTTCTTTCCAATCAGAGGACTCTCTTTTCTTTGATGAAAAAACATTGAGTTCTAAATTTTGTATTTGATCGAATTGACAATATTAACTAACATTTTAGTCACATTGCTACCAAAACTATATAAATACAATATTGCATAAGTCTGAAGTCTCTTAGAACTGCCTAAAAACTTGAGAATTTTGTGATGTTATAGTAAAGTTATTCCAAAAAGTTGATAACAAGAGAAATAAAATTAATTACATGGAGGAAAATTGGCAGAACATTTTCCAGGTAAATGGAGAGCGAGGGTCCGGTCAACGCCAACGATGGGTGGTCCCTTGGCAAGAACGCATAGACAAGGTTGACCAAGTATCTTGATAGCAGCGCAACATAGCTTGTTCGGAGGCAATGTGCTAAACGGAGCCACTGATGGTCTACACGGCACTAGCTGAATCAAAGCCGACAAAAATGTACGACCACATGGGTGTCCCAGCGTCTCTCTCACCAGACCTGACTGGACCATAACTATAAGTAACATCACTGTAAAAACCTGAATCTTTTTCATTAAAATCATCTCTCTTTTCTTTTTTTTGACAACGTCTTAAAAGACGAAAGCTCATATATAACGTGTATTGTGAGAGTGTTATGGAGAATAATTGCATGACTAACCTAATGGAGTTGGATTAGATGGATCATGAAACTTGGGGTTTATTGTTTCTAGGCTCACATTTTCTACGCTATTAGCTAAATTTTTACATGCATATACATAACAAGTGACTATCATCTCAGATATTATTAATTTCTAGGAAAATTGAGTTATACATAGAGATGATGGTTTGGAGAAAAGATACGGCATAAGTTGTGTGACGTACAACCAATTTATTTTTGATGCTTGAAGAAATGTCAAAAATTTATGAAGTTATACTCTCTCTAGTCACGTCTATATTTTAACATATGCCAATCCAAATCATGAGTCTTAATTAATCTCACACTTACTCGGCTAAATACAAGATTATGTTTATTTATATCTGTGCTTACATGACAAAGTACAAAACAGAACAAAAGACGACAAAAAGAATACAATAATAAACATTCATCACTTCAACCAAATCTGAGCCATTCATTTCCGAACCAACCCTGACATTGTTGTTACCGTCTAACTTCCGCTCACAGATTCTCTCGGTTCTGTCCCGCACGCAATCTGGAGAAAGCAATGCAGAAACAACACTGGAATGGGGGAAGGGAAAGAATGAAGCATCTGACCATGAGTCATGCCTAAGATTTGAGATCAAAACAGTAGAAGTATCTTCAAGAATAGATGAGAGCATCTATCTATCTTTTCCATCTTTCTGGTATAGTATAACAACATTTCTTGAACTCCTGCTAAACAGTATTTCTTCCAAGAGTTTGATCTACTTGATACAATGGCAACATCGAAGACTGAACCTGCAAGAACCATTGAAAGACACATTAATTCACTTTGCCATTATTATATCACTAATAAATCTGACCAATCAAAAACCCTCTTTCCTAGTTCCATTGATGTTCTGATGTCATGTTTATAAGAGTTACTCACTGATCAAATGTCAACCAAATCAAGAAAGCAATTATTATACAACTATCCACATACATTTTGAGTTAATCCTTCAGCTAATTCCATAAACTTAAAGATACTCAGTTCTACAAATCCATACATACACCAGAAAAGATAGTCAAACTTAGTGAACAATTCAAAAACAGAGATTCTCAAGATTTCATACCTTGTTTTCACCAATAAACTCAGCATCGCTACGAACCGCAACACAATCTCTCGGTGTCTCGAACAAAGACAAAGAGTATTGCTTGCGAAGAACACCAACGTCGAAGAATATAAGACCAGAGCTCGGCACGTCGACTCGGATTCCTTTAACCGGAAACCACAAGAACAGCTCTTGCGCTGAGATTCCCGACAAATCCCCGATTTGAGCATAACCTATCGTTCCCGAAACAATCTCGTCGTAATGCAGCTCTGTCTCATACTTAGCCTGGCATGACTGGTTCAAATAAACCGAGAACCGTCCCGTTTCGCCATTAACGCTGAATCCTTTCACACCTTTCGGAAATATCCCCAAAGGCAATCCGTTCGCTAGAAGAATCTCGTCTATAGATTCGTTCTCGGCTGAGATCGAGATCCTGGCGGCGAGAACGAAACAAAGAAGCGCGATTTGAGCTATACGAAGCATAGTAGAATGGTAGAATTTGCCAGATCTCGTTGCTGGCTATGAATTAATGGGTTTAAGCGAGGAAGAAGAAGAAGACGACATTTTTATGACAGCTTGAAACAGAGTGGATCAAAATTATTGAAGGCGGAATTTGGAATGAGGGCAGTGATCTTCTGCTTCTCAGGCCATGGTTAGAGTAACCAATGAATGAAAGCCACGTCGGATAATATCCACCAATTAAATTTTTAGTTAAATGTGGTTTCGTTTTAAGCCATGTTCTAACATTTAACGAGTTATTGGAAAAGTAGGTGGACCGGACCACATGGGATCATAGAGAGACATGGGTTTGGGTTTTTAGAATTGGATCGTGATTTGCGCAAGTTAGTACATGTGCCATTTTCAACCCCAACTATTTGGGGCGGGTTTTCCAACCCAAACTAAGACCCCCTATCAATTTCTACCCAAACTCAAAACTAATTTAATTCAAAACCTAAACTAATGAAATTAGCCGATTTCACATGACAGAGACGGTGTAGTTCGAGATTAACGGCTGCTGAGTCAGCGATA